CGGATCAGCTCCAGGCATGACGAAGCGATATCGTCCTCTTTTGGAAGGCCAAACAAAGTAGTTTCGCTTTCACAGCGCCTTCACGAAATGGCGGCGGCAGCAACAATACTACAACGAGAATAAAAGTTATGCCTTCTTTCTTTGCGTGAACATTTGGGCGGAGCAAATCTTCCCACATAGTGAGGTAGACATGTGGGGGCGTGTTAGAACGAGCCGTTTTAGGTAGGCGTGGTTGACTCTTGACTTTTATAAAGAATATCTCTTTGGATTTGAGACTTTAGTCTTTGCAACTTTACAGATCTTCTTTATGCACCAAGAGCTTGTAACACTCCAAAGAGAAAGGACAAATTTAAATCGTATCATATGACCCCTTTAAATAAATGCAGTCTTCAATTATAAGAGACTTCTTTCAACAATATTTTAAAAAATCACAATTATTCTAAACTTTTGACAAATAATGTAGCAACTGGTAAAAAGAAAAAAAAGCTACATATTTTATAAGGTTCAGCAGATAATATTTTTGGTGTTATCCCATTTGCCACTAGATAACAAAGCACCATTTCTCCAGTGCGTTTCACCATGAGGCACATCAGTCTTTGTGGGCTGGGCTTGTAATCGTCTCACTGTATCATTGCATACCAAATGTATAATTTGTTTGCAGCTTATAATTCATGGAAACTTTAGCAGTCAACCCCATTTCTCACTCAACATCTGAGTGTGCTTTGTTTCAACGGTTTGATCAAACAAATGTTTGACAGAAAAACTGGAAAAAAACTTACTTTGTGGCTATTTTAGTCTGCTGTGCTCATTGTTTAATGTTTGGAGACCTTTGAGAATGAAGAGAGTCTGTTGACTTGACACATTTTCTCAAGAATAACATGGGGAGGGAATTTAAACATTGCTGATGTGGAGAGTGAAAATATCAGCAGTTAATCTGCAAAATAATAAGGCCAAAATCTGCTCCTTAAGAGATCAGTGTCTATAGTTATCACTTATAATTGTCATATGTACATTTACCTAACTTTATATATATATACACACTAAATAAACACTAGCTTTCTATTTTTTCTATTCTATCTACTTGTTTTTCTTTGTGTGTGTGTATATATGTGTGTGTGTGTGTGTGTGTGTGTATAATATATGTATGTATGTGTATGTATATATATATATACACACACCTTGCTACGTGTACTGCGTTAGGCTAACCGAGACTTGTCATTTGCACTTTTGCTCTTTTGCTCTTTTGTTAGTTTAGACTGCTTTTATTGTCCTCATTTGTAAGTCGCTTTGGATAAAAGCATCTGCTAAATAAATAAATAAATAAATACAATATATATATACACACTTTTAGATTACTTTTGACCTAACTTGTTTATCACATTGATTTATATAGGATAATCTTGTAAAAAAAATTATATAAAAATACAAACAGTAAGAAAATATATTCCATTCATTGTAATTAGCAACATGAGGTTAAACATTCAATTACATTACATCAAGGTTTTCCAAACTGGGGTTAAAGGAACTGCAGGCCCAGGGGTTCGTGAGTTTAATAAAAATATAATAATTCATAAAAATGTAAAAATAAAATTCATTTTAAAATGACATCAATCAATATAAAACACTTTTTTACATTTAAATTAAATTAAATTAATTAATCTTAATTTAACACATAAATTAAATATTTTATTTGTTTACCTGCATGTCATGTGTACATTAACCAATGACAGAGAACCATGAACATTCAAATGTGATTTAATTATTAAAATATTTCATTTTAAATCTCAGGGGTACTTCAAGTAAATATATTACGGGAAAGAGGTTCAGATGACAAAAAAAGTTTGGGAATGCCTGCATTACAAGTAAATAAGTGTAGTGGACAGCACATTCCAGGGCCCAGTTTATGGCGGGCCCCTCTCTGACTACAATAGTGGACAAAGGTTTGATACATTTTGATTGGAATTTGGTGGACTAACATAAGCAAACTGTCCAACGCCATCAGATAAAGATGCCAGGACAAAAGCCAGACACCTCTTAGAGGGCAAGAAGAAGATCTCTAGTACCAAGCCCAGGAAGGGCAGGACTTCTCACTGAACAAAATGCAGTTTCTGCCCTTCACCCACCCAGAGACTGATTCCTAAGGTTCTGGTCTGTGAAAAAATGTAAAAATAAAAATTCCTTAATTCTGAGCCTCTGGCACATGAGGGAAAAGGCAATAACGGATACCAAGTCCTGAATCTCCAGCTTTTGAGGAAGCAACAGATACAACCACGTTCTGAGCCTCCAGCCTGTGAGGAAAGAGAAACTCTATGTTCAGACTTCAGAGTCTTCGTCCCGTGAGACAACAACAGATGCAGCACATCCTGAGTCTCCATCCTAGAGAGACAAAGCGGATCGACTAAGTTCTGAGTCTCTAGCCAGAGAGGCAGAAGACACACAGACTTCTGCAACAAGGTTAAGCTCCGGCGAGCAAACTTTCACTTTAAGGTACTTTTGCTTGCGTGTTCCAGGCAAGGACCCTCTGCACCTACTCCAGGGCCACATTTGCGTGTTACAGATTTTAGGACCCTTTGGTGCTCCAGGAGATCAGCATCCTACAGCGCTTCGTGTTGAAACAGATTCCTGCTCCTTTCCCCACTGCATTGTTACCAGCACAACCAGTGGAAGAAGTCGCCGCCATCGGACCGCTCACTACAGCGAATGTAAATATCACTTATCCAAACCTCTTCCAGAGACCTTGGCATTGTTGTATATTATCAGTATATTATTTTTCTAATTTATATTAGATATCATATAGCTGATTGCAGTTGATAACAAATAATCTTTCACGTATTTGTTTGATGCATAATAAGGTTCTTCAGCTTATTTGTTTCAGAGTAGCAACAGTTTATCTTTCCAGATAACGTAGCTCTAACATAGCAACACCCAACTGAATCCCTTGCATTTTATACATTTTATGCACTTTATTTATTTTCCATTCATGGTATTAATTTAGCAGTTGTTGATTACTTTTGCCTATCTTTTGTTAATAAAATTTATTTTATTACACTTGTGTCTTCCTTGTGTTGATGATACAGAAAGAGGTTCTACAAGTTAGATATCCCACCAATCTTTCTTGTGTGATGTACTCATAACCGCACCTTAAGGTGCACGTGATCCAAAAATCATAACGTCATCGGTGACTTTAGTACCCATCACTACACTATTTCGCCTCCCTAGGTTGGCGAAAGCAAATTCAAGAAATAGCGTGAATTTGTGCATTCTAATCTATTTGAAATACAATTCCAAAAACATAGTAACACATGGTTAAATAACCCACTGAGTGATAATTCAAATAAAAATTGATGAGTTCATCAGTATGGATAACGGATACCAAGTCCTGAATCTCCAGCTTTTGAGGAAGCAACAGATACAACCACGTTCTGAGCCTCCAGCCTGTGAGGAAAGAGAAACTCTATGTTCAGACTTCAGAGTCTTCGTCCCGTGAGACAACAACAGATGCAGCACATCCTGAGTCTCCATCCTAGAGAGACAAAGCGGATCGACTAAGTTCTGAGTCTCTAGCCAGAGAGGCAGAAGACACACAGACTTCTGCAACAAGGTTAAGCTCCGGCGAGCAAACTTTCACTTTAAGGTACTTTTGCTTGCGTGTTCCAGGCAAGGACCCTCTGCACCTACTCCAGGGCCACATTTGCGTGTTACAGATTTTAGGACCCTTTGGTGCTCCAGGAGATCAGCATCCTACAGCGCTTCGTGTTGAAACAGATTCCTGCTCCTTTCCCCACTGCATTGTTACCAGCACAACCAGTGGAAGAAGTCGCCGCCATCGGACCGCTCACTACAGCGAATGTAAATATCACTTATCCAAACCTCTTCCAGAGACCTTGGCATTGTTGTATATTATCAGTATATTATTTTTCTAATTTATATTAGATATCATATAGCTGATTGCAGTTGATAACAAATAATCTTTCACGTATTTGTTTGATGCATAATAAGGTTCTTCAGCTTATTTGTTTCAGAGTAGCAACAGTTTATCTTTCCAGATAACGTAGCTCTAACATAGCAACACCCAACTGAATCCCTTGCATTTTATACATTTTATGCACTTTATTTATTTTCCATTCATGGTATTAATTTAGCAGTTGTTGATTACTTTTGCCTATCTTTTGTTAATAAAATTTATTTTATTACACTTGTGTCTTCCTTGTGTTGATGATACAGAAAGAGGTTCTACAAGTTAGATATCCCACCAATCTTTCTTATGTGATGTACTCATAACCGCACCTTAAGTGGCACGTGATCCAAAAATCATAACGTCATCGGTGACTTTAGTACCCATCACTACACTATTTCGCCTCCCTAGGTTGGCGAAAGCAAATTCAAGAAATAGCGTGAATTTGTGCATTCTAATCTATTTGAAATACAATTCCAAAAACATAGTAACACATGGTTAAATAACCCACTGAGTGATAATTCAAATAAAAATTGATGAGTTCATCAGTATGGATGCAGTGTTGAAACACTTCTTAAACCTGAAATGTTTTTTTGTAAATCCAGTGGTCAAATGCTGTGTTTGCAAATGCAAAATACCTGACTAGTGACTTGTCTTGTAGGCTATTTTAGAAAGGAATATTTAAAAGATGAAGAGGAATAATTTGAATAATTTTAGCAATGAATAATTTATTGCTATTGTGTCAATAATATGCAATCATGTAATCAATAAAAAAGTAACTGTAGTCTGATTATGAGTATTTAAAATGTAATTTAATCTAATTACAAGTACTTTATTTTTGGAATCTAATTATGTAATCCAGATTATATGTAATCAGTTACTACCCAGCTCTCTCTCTCTCTCTGTGTGTTTAGGGTGTAAAAGTATGCAAACATGACGGGTTCGGTACGCACCTCGGTTTTGATGTCACGGTTCGGTACAGCAGGGAGAAAAACGAAACCTTTTTTTTAAACGGTAGGAAATTGCTCTTTCTTTAAATAAACACATTTATAATTAACATTTTCTTACGGATACATATTTACCTCGGCTTATGCTCTAGTGAGCCCTTTTACATTAGGCCTAAGGTTACAGTTAACAACAGAGCCCAAACTTAAATTTAATATATTTTTAAATACAACAAGCAACAATCAACTTAAAAAAATTAATGCAAACATGTAAATTGCTCATTATGTCGTTTTTTAATTAACTTCTAAGTTATAAAAATTATATTTGTTGTTGAAATATAACCTATTCGTTTACACAGTGCCTCTCATAACTCGTTTCATAACATATTTTTTAAACATTGAATAATTAAGATATCAGGAACAGGTAAAGTAAAATATAATGAGTAGATGGTCTAATATTTCGCGAAATGCTCTTCTTTAGACTTCATTTATAGTAAACTAACGAGCTGTGGTCTGGACACTGATGACTTCCTGAGGTAGCCTAAATGAAATGCTATCTGACATTTTGTTTACAAGCTGTTTTATTGACGTCTTTCCGTGGTTGAAACGCTGATTGAGCGATTACATGAGGCATGAGATGTTCATTCATGTTTATTTCGCATTAAAACTATAGTAGTAAAGAGGGAGATAGGATCTCACTCACTGGTGCTCCGCGCTGCTGTTTGAAGGCGTTTCTGCGATTGGTCATGCCGCATCAAAGAGTGCCAAAACAGCATTCATCGTTTGAATTTCCTGAAAAAAAAGGACATAATTTAAAGATGAGACTTTGTTTCTTATCAAAAGTAACAATATATAAAACTGGAAGTTTCCAATGAAGTTCCGCTCCTGCAGTGGTTAAAACAATGTAGGCTATTTGTTTGGTACACATGCTACCGATCCGAAAGACCCTACATTTTTCGGGAGGAATACCTGTACCGTTACACCCCATATATATATATATATATATATATATACATACAATATTATAATAAATTATAATTTATTTATTACTTTATTTACTGTGTAGCCTACTTATTTGGTCCAAGCAAAAAGTGCTGGGAATGCTATTGTTTTTATCAGGATTATTTTTATTCATCTTTGTTCTACTATTAATCTGATTGTAAAGAACAGCGTAAATGGGAGAATATGACGGTTAAACAGAGAGTCTGAAATGTTGACTCAGGGAATGAAAAGCAAATACATGACAAATAAATATGCCTGGTATAGTGCTAATTTTGTTTCTTTATTTAATCTGTACTATAGTATGTGCATAATTACTGTATGTAGAGTACAATGATTATTTATAGTGCTTTCTCTTAATAAAGACAGAAACCTCTTATCATTGATCACTTACTTCATATTATGACGTTTTTTCACGTTTTATTGCATCACAAATCCATGGATTGGCCATGTGTGTTAGTGTGAGAGTTGCTGTTTTCTGGGTCTTTTCTTGTATATCTATAATTTTGACCCATACAGTGTATTTTTGGCGATTGCTACAAATGTCCCCGTGCAACTTAAGACTGGTTTTGTGGTCCAGGGTCACATATGATGATGCTCTCCTAATGAAGTTTAGGAGTCATAGGGCATAAGTGGACAAGGCATTACAGTAGAATGACAAGTCCATTCACGTTTTTGTTTTTAAAAATAAGCATCAAGAGATTAGGTTCAATTTACATATAACCCTATGAATATTTTAAGCAGATGTTGTTGTTGTTGTTGTTTTAAATATTCATAATTTTTTATACATTTTAAGAATCTTTTTGCCTTCACTAGTTCAAATGGTCATGAGATGCGACGAATAAATATAAAAAATTACAAATATTGAATAGTCATAAAACAAAAAACTATATTATTGTTATTATTGTTACTATTACTACTACTACTACTAATGATAATAACAAAATAATAATAAAAGAAAATAATATTAATGATACTACTAATAATAAAATAATAATAATAATGATAAATGAAAGTGTTGTTGTTGTTTAAAATAACTATAAAATATGTCTTAAAAGTCCAGCTTCTTGAAATGATGATACACTCTAAAAAATGCTGGGTTAAATACAACCCAGTGCTGGGTAAAATAGGGACAAACCCAGCAATTGGGCTGGTTTTTTTGACCCAGCGGTTGGGTTAAATGTTTAACCCAACATTCTGGGTAGTAACCCAACCGCTGGGTCGTTGTAACCCAACCGCTGGGTCAAAACAACCCAATTGCTGGGTTTGTCCCTATTTTACCCAGCACTGGGTTGTATTTAACCCGGCATTTTTTTCAAGTTAGTTCAAGTTGCCTCAATTTCCTTTATTACTAAACCTCAGTATAAGTTTGTTGATAAATATAAATTGCCATTGTATCCAAAAATCATTATTTATAACGTTCCTTTCTTCATCATAGCACATTCTTGATTGCTGAATTTCAACATAATCAAAACATGTTACGCATTATGTTTTCCACCCAACAGAACTCTAACTGCGCTCACAGTGCTGTTCTAAATATTGATGAGGTAAATGTGCAATCCATATTCCCAGTTCTTCTGTTTATTCTTCTGTTGATTAGTGTCTTTTGTCTGTTACATTGACATATATCTTTGTAGAATGAATGCATACAGAGAATTCTAGAAGATCTCCACTACTATCGGGAGACATTTAGAGCTTACGCTAACCCAGAGCTCACTAAAAGTGTAGTGAGAAGGATTGATGACCTCCTGCAGGTAAAATAAGCCAATCAACCAAACACAGACAGCTTTCTATAATTACTGTTAATTGCAAGGCTCTTTTTCACTCAGTGAATTTTCTCTCTCTCTCTCTCTCTCTCTTTGTACATTGTAATAGAACTGCTTCTCTGTCTCTGCATTGGACATCTCTCCGGCCAAGGTAAAACAGGTTATATTTATTGATAATAGACATGTAATGTTTTGAGTGCTTTCTTTTGGCCTCTGTGATCCTGTCATGTTTAAGTATGATTATGTTTTCTTCAGGTGTCTATGGATCATCAAAAATCTTTTCAAGAACGACTGCAGCTGTGCAAAGTCCTAAAGGGTTTCAACCTTCGAACAATAACAATAAATCGTGTTTTCAACTACATTTTGTCAAAATAGCAAACTAGCAGTTGCTACAGGCCAAGCACCTTTTAGTTTACTGTTACAAAAAGCAATGATTATTTATTAGTAAGTTATTTATTGTATTTAAACATTATTTATTTATGCAATAATGTATGCTATTTTATTTTTATTAAAGGTGGCCATGCACTTCAGCAAAACCTTGTTGTATAGTCATGCTTTGTCTTATGCATAATATATAATTGGTTAATAATACAATAAATATAATTTGTCTTATATAGTTGTGGTAACATGGGAGTAAGTCACAAGAGGAAATGGCTTCAACATAGTCATATTCCTAAACTGAAACAGTTTTGTGCATAGAAATGGTTATAAATAATGCAGACGGCCAATAAGGAAAGTGATTATTCAGATTATCCTTTCTTTCTAAGATAGCCTATTACTGTCATTCAAAGATACGATTATATAACAAAGGCATTGTATATTATAGTCTGGTAATTGCTTAACAGGTGTACTAATTTCCATTCTTATATTACCAATACAACTACATACTAATTCTTCTCTACTTCCCTATACACTCTAAAAAATGCTGGGTTAAATACAACCCAGTGCTGGGTAAAATAGGGACAAACCCAGCAATTGGGTTGTTTTGACCCAGCGGTTGGGTTACTACCCAGAAGGCTGGGTTAAACATTTAACCCAACCGCTGGGTCAAAACAGCCCAATTGCTGGGTTTGTCCCTATTTTACCCAGCACTGGGTTGTATTTAACCCAGCATTTTTTTGAGTGTACCTTTCTGAACTGGTCAAAATGACTGGCATTTTGCAGTTTCATCATCAGTGTTACCAAATATTGAGAAATTCTAATTTTCTTTTGGTTTTATACAAGCCAATGCTTAATGACCACAAACAATTGCTGTCATCATAAAAGGAAGTCTCCAACCACTTGGATTACTACATTGTAATTTCAAGAAACATTTTCAAGGACAAAATCTTAGAATATTCTTATTTCATTTCAGCCATAGAAAGAGAAAAAAAGTGGTCAAGGTGCTAAAAAATTAATTAAAAGGGGAATTTAGTGAGAAAATTAATATGAACACAACCACCTCTTATTCTTATAAAGAAATGGTTCTTATGTCTCAACTGTATTTCTGAATTTGTTTGAGGAGTTACAAAGATACAAACTAACAGCAGTGCTGATCCTAGACTTCTGGGGGCATTTTACCGTGTTTCACTCCGTCTCGAATCCTCTCGCGGAAAGCGCTTGAGAAACAGTGTCTCTTCTGCGGCTTGGTACGCTTTCAACTCGTTTTTTTAGTCTCGAGCAAGACTGTACGACATTCACATTACATGATTTGACTGATTTTTATGTAGAAAGGGTGACATCGCACCGCATTAAAATAAATGATTATTCATGTTTTCATAACTGCTGGCCAAAATAAAAAACGAAACTAAAATTAAATAATCTTTGAGAGCAAGGGGGCCCCCCTGGTGTTTCGGGGGCCCTACGCAGCTTGCGTATTTTGCGTATAGAGAGGATCGGCTCTACTGTGTTCGCCTCAACTAAAATAACTGGAACACATTCATACTAGGCCTACAAACAAACATAAACGTTTTAAATTATGGGAGGCACTTCAGGTTTGGGGATATTCCACTCAAAAATACCAAAACAAATAATTTCAAATAATAAGGTTGCATTACAAATCGTCTGTATCCGTCAATTTGACAGAATAAGCGGAACATTTTCCTTCATGTTCCATATTGAGATGTCAGGAGAATAACGTAATGCTTGGTATTTTAATGTGACACCGTAAAAAGAATATACACAAAGAACTCTTTTTAATCTGCTGTATTTTTTCCTTCTAAATATTTTTTTCCCTTTGCATTTCACTTGAGGCTGGTTCTAAACATTTGGAGGCCCTAAAATCCATGTTAGGGCCCCCCCCCACCTCCAATAAAATCACTTGAAACAAATATGATTCCTAACCTTTTTATTTAAATTTTTTTTATATTTTTTACATTTCCAAAACGTGTTTGACATGATGGATGGCATAGATCTTCAGTTGAGATGCGATTTTAAAATGGATAAACTACCTGTGAAATTAGCTAAATTTCACAAACAAGCTTTATTGGCCTGGATGCTCGTGTTTAAGCACAATTTTTCCCCAATAAATATGTTATTTGAAAAATAGATGTATTCGATATAAAAATAAATCTCTCTTTTATAAAAGTTGGTATGAAAATTATATTGTTAGTTAGACAACTTTTAAATTCAAATGGTAATTTTTTATCTTATAGTGAATTTTTGGATAAATTTGGTTTTCCAGTTACGCCAAAAAGTGTATGCTGTTGTATTTGATGCCATACGTCAACAAGTTGTCCATATTATAAGAGCTTGTGGAAGTGATTCGTCTGAGGAAATATATGTTAAAGACAGCATGTTTCTAGGAAGCATTGATATTCTTAAACAAAGTTGTACTAATAAATATATTAGGAATATTATAACAGGTGATACAGCAACTTATAAAAGCTTATTGTGGACCAATGTATTTAGAAATATAAATTGGAATTAAGCTTGGCGTATTTGTGAAATATACTGTTTAAATAATAAAGTAAAAGAGGTTACATTTAAAATTTTAGATGGTATATATCCAACTAAAAGTGTGTGAGAGAGATTTAATTTGGATATTGATTATTCCTGTGATTTTTGTTCAATGGAAAATAAGTCTATTGTCGATCTGTTTTGTAAATGTATACACAAGGATTTTCTGGGTGGATATGGAAAATTTTAATAGAAGGAAAACAAATATTATATCCTCCTGACTACCAGGAAAAAAACAGTTTTGTGAATGTAGTATTTTGTCATGTCATTACATTGTTTAGAGCAGTGGTTCCCAACCCTGGTCCTGGAGGCACCCCAGCACTGCACATTTTGCATGTCTCCTTTCTCTGACACACCACTTTCAGGTCTTGGACCAGGGCTGTCCATACTCGGTTCTGGAGGGCCGGTGTCCTGCAGAGTTTAGCTCCAACTTGCCTCAACACACCTGACTGAAAGTTTCTATGCCTAGTAAGAGCTTGATTAGCTGGATCAGGTGTGTTTAATTAGGGTTGGAGCTAAACTCTGTAGGACACCGGCCCTCCAGGACCGAGTATGGACAGCCCTGTCTTGGAGTCTCTACTAATGAGCTGATGACCTGAATCAGGTGTGTTTGGAACCACTGGTTTAGAGCAGTGGTTCCCAACCCTGGTCCTGGAGGCACCCTAACACTGCACATTTTGCATGTCTCCTTTCTCTGACACACCAATTTCAGGTCTTGGAGTCTCTACTAATGAGCCGATGGCCGATGTTTGGGTGCCTCTATAGGACCAGGGCTGGGAACCACTGGTTTAGAGCATAAGAAACATTTTGAACGATACAATTTTTGAAAAATGATATTTTATGTTATGCCTCTGTAGAGGACATCGGGACTTTAAAAAGTCCTGTTTTAAAAAAAAAATAAGAATAGACAAGAAAAGGCAAAAAGAGTGGGATTTTTGTTTTAATCAGAAATCAATTTTCATTTTTTTATACCAAACTTTATATAAAGATGATTCTCAACTATGTTATGAAAGATATTTTTAAAAAACATTTTTCTTTATGCAAAATGTGTGTAAAATGGCCATAAGTTTTTCCAATATATGAAATGTATCTATAAACTGTATCTAATTTGCATATTAATGTGTTTTTGGGGCAACATAGAATGAACAAATAGGTGCAATAATGGGAGTAATAATTAGCAAGATTTTCATATAAATATCTAATATTTAATAGGAATATTGATATATACTTTTTTTCTCTATTCATTTGTTGTGTCTCCCAAATTGTGTAATAAACATGCTTTAATTCCTGGTGTCCTCTACAGTGGACATGTATGAAATTGATGTCCTGTTTCATAACAGAAGGTCACATTTTGATAACCCCATAACATTTTCCTGAGATGTTTATTTATGACAAACAATTTGTCAATTAGTCAGATTTAAATGATAATTACAAAATATTACATTTGATCACTAAATGAATGTCAGCCATTTTTAAAGACCAAAGAGAGGGAGTGGCCATGGTGAAACATCCAATCATTTGGTATCTCTGGAAAGCCCTGAATGTGCTCTGTGCAGGACATAAAAATATATAACGTCTCAGGGAAATCGCTAAAACATAATGACCTCTACAGTGGACAAAACTCCATAGCTGGTAGTCAGGAGGATATTCAAGTTAAATCATTTTGATATATGTATGTATTATTCAGAGGTGTAAAGAGTACCTAAAAACCATACTTGAGTAAAAGTACAGATACCTTACAGTGAAAATTACTCCACTACACGTTACAAGTCACCAATTCCAAAACAACTTGAGTAAAAGTCTTAGAGTATCTGATTTTAACAGTACTTAAGTATTGTACTTATACTAAATATAGGCTCAACGATGCACTAGTCAAAGAGACATGCCAGTGATAAACTGTAACGTTGTGGAGAAGCTGGGGAAAAAGGGAGAGACAAGGATCTATGTGCAGGTATTTAATGGAAAAGCTAGAACAAACAATAAGCCAAAAACCAAAGGGAACAAAGAACAGAATGACTGGTAAACAGACTACCATTACATTCAACAACTCACAAGGAACTAAAGGAAAAACTAGGGCTATATATACACACATGGGGCTAACAAGCTGAACAAGATAAGACACACCTGGGGAGACTAATCAAGGGGAACCAATAAACAAACGGACTACAAACTGACTACAAACACCACGGGAGACAGGAAGTGACATAAAAGTCCAGGGCAAGGCACAGAGAGCATGAAACAAAAACAAGAAAGAGTTGATTTATTTTCTAAAACCAAATAACTAAAGCTGAACACCTTAAAATGACAAAACAAACAAACAAACAAAAAAACAATATATTTCAAAAGGGGAACCAATAAACAAACGGACTACAAACTGACTACAAACACCACGGGAGACAGGAAGTGACATAAAAGTCCAGGGCAAGGCACAGAGAGCACGAAACAAAAACAAGAAAGAGTTGATTTATTTTCTAAAACCAAATAACTAAAGCTGAACACCTTAAAATTACAAAACAAACAAACAAACAAAAACTATCTTTCAAAAAGGTATCTTCAGTATAATGGATAAATAAAATAATGTTAAGTAAAATTAAAAAGCCGAAGCCTTCTAACAGTGGATGTGCTGGTTTGGGCCTCATTGCCGGCTGCAGTCATGTCCTCATCTCATATATAAAACACCTCTGATTCACAAATACTTGCTAAGGAACTCGCATTCACATAAAGTAGCCTTGTTGACAAGTTTGGGTGAGTAAGGGCAAAACGCACAAGATGCAGTACTCTCAGTGACCTGTAGGTAGCAGTATCACGTCTTTTGTAGCAGAAATAAACCGCTGCAGAAAAAGTTAGGTCCATGCAAAATGTAATGTGTAACTGCAACACTCATTTCAAATGTAGTGGAGTAAAGAGTACAGATACTCATTCAAAAATGTAGTGAAGTAAAGAGTAAAAGTTGCTAATATCTTTGATACTCAGTACAACTACAAAGTATCCGAAAATATACTCAAGTACAGTAACTAATTACATTTACCCCAATACTTTACACCTCTGCGTATTATTCCAGTGAAAGTAATAATAATAATTTTACTTTACTCGTACAGCTTTTTACTATTTTGGGAACATTTCCCATACATAAGAAGAAATGGTCAGGATCCAAGCCAAATTGCATTCATTTTCTTCAGGAGACTAAGAACTGCTGCACCAGTTTGGAGAACATTGTAGCAAAGAAGACTTGTAATATTTTTCCACAAATTTTTGATTAAATGAATCAATGGTTTGTACACTCTGGCATGTTTTTATATACATTTTTGTAAACTGTTGTATATTAAAAAAAAAAAAAAAAAAAAAAAAATGTGACGCATCTGACGCCATCCGCGCGCTCCAGTAACACGGCAGGATTTAGGACCCGGCGGGATTCTATCCGGTACATCCAGGCACAGCTCAAGGCTAGCGACCATCGGAATGAAAATGCCGTCGTCTTTATTCAGCATTTCTCTGGTTTCTTTTATACTGGTTTTTATTGCGTCACATTTCGGAGAGGTGTTAGCTGATGACAAAGAACGAGGTAAAAATATCTATAAATTTAGACATTTAAGCAAAATAATCCCTATGAACGCTAGCTGTGCTAGACCACCGGTTTCTGACCCGAAACGCGGATCTAAAGTAACACCCGATTGAGCGAAATTACTCAGTACTGTCTCAGTGAGGCTAAATGTCTACTGCTAATATATCCCATGAAGGTGAAATAGTATGTTTTAAGTGATGAGCTCATTATAAACCTAAATCGATGGGATTTTGCAGCCGCGATTAAGAATAGTAATCATGCAAAATGATCAGATTATGTATTTTGACTGGCGTGCCTCTGACATTGCATTGTGTATTGGACGAAAGACTGATTAAATCTCTGACCACAGGCGCATTGTTGCAGATCTCTTTGTTCTGTGGTTGTAGTCGTGGCTTGTTCCAACAGGTACTCTTGCACCTAACCGGATGTATGAGTTAAATATTTATAATGGACGTGTACAGGTGCATCTCAAGTCAGCAGAAGGAAGCATGAAGTGCTCTAAAATTTCCTGGTAGATGGCTGCGTTGACTGTGGACTTCAGAAAACACAGTGGACCATTTTCCAGCAGGACTTGGCACCTGCCCACACTGCCAAAGCACCAAAAGCTGGTTCAATGACCATGGTGTTACTGTGCTTGATTGGCCTGCAAACTCGCCTGACCTGAACCCCATAGAGAATCTATGGAGTATTGTCAAGAGGAAGATGAGAGACACCAGACCCAACAATGCAGATGACCTGAAGGCCGCTATCAAAGAAACCTGGGCTTCCATACCACCTCAGCAGTGCCACAGGCTGATTGTCTCCATGCCACGCCGCACTGATGCAGTAATTCATGTAAAAGGAGGCCCAACCAAGTATTGAGTACATGTACAGTAAATGAACATACTTTCCAGAAGGCCAACAATTCACTAAAAATGTTTTTTTTTTATTGGTCTTATGAAGTATTCTAATTTGTTGAGATAGTGAATTGGTGGGTTTTTGTGAAATGTGAGCCAAAATCATCACAATTAAAAGAACCAAAGACTTAAACTACTTCAGTCTGTGTGCACTGAATTTATTTAATACACGAGTTTCACAATTTGAGTTGAATTACTGAAATAAATGAACTTTTCCATGACATTCTAATTTATCGAGATGCACCTGTGTGTGTGTATTATTTAAGGATTTGGGGACCATATTCACTGGCGGAGCCTTGAGGATGGGAAGAAGGAGGCTGAAGCAAGGTACAGCTGGCTTGATCTAGTTTGCCAATATCCTTTGTACTTTGTAACATTGTAGTTTATTTATTTCTATAAAAGGTAGGCCTATACCAGACTTTCAGAAATATAATCTGGTCAGGTCCAGGCACTTAACCCTATAAAGCCTGCTGTATCATATTTGTGTCAAACAGTATCAAGTGCTCTAAATTATTACATGATCAGTTGTATACAATCTACTACATGCCTTCCGTTACTTGACTGATAATGTGTATATATATATATATATAGTAGGCCTATACCAGACTTTCAGAAATATAATCTGGTCAGGTCCAGGCACTTAACCCTATAAAGCCTGCTGTATCATATTTGTGTCAAACAGTATCAAGTGCTCTAAATTATTACATGATCAGTTGTTACTACATTACTACATGCCTTCTGTTACTTGACTGATAATGTGTATATATATATATATATATATATATATATATATATATATATATATTTGCATGCATGCATACATACACATACATGCGCGCACACACACACACACACACACACACACACATATATATATATGTATATATATGTGTGTGTGTGTGTGTGTGTGTGTGTATGTATGTATGTATGCATGCATGCATGTATGTAAATAATATTTATTGATTTATTAAATTATTATAATTTTTTTTTGTAGAAATTAAAGCCATTTTAGTATAATTCTAAAAATGTTCCTCTTCAGGTTGTGGTACATGTTTGTTTTTTGGCTGTGAAATCTTCACAGATGTTTATAAATTAAAAGTTACAGTAACTTTTATTTTGTTTGTAATATTTCTAAATGAACACTTACTGGACTGAAGTTTACTTGATTATCCTATTTTATTAATATAATTTTTTTTTATGTATCTAATGTGACGTATCAGGCTTTTGAGGAACGTTTGTTTGTACATCTCTGAATCATCGTTGTACTGCATTATATTTGTTGCCCCCCACAATAAAACCTACAGAACTTTGATCATAAAACTAAGCGTTTAAATATCATCTTACTAAGACATATTATTGGAATATATGCAGTGACTATATAGAGTATTATGTAAGGGATAATGGTGTATCAAATGTGATACTCAATAAAGTAACCACAAAAAAAAAGTCCTAGCAGAATGGAATTACATTAGCCATTGTTCAGTGAGGGACTGAGTTATCTTGCATGAAGTTGGCATCTTGCAACGTTTGCTTTTGTTTTAAAAGTGATTTCCAAATGTAATTCTGATCTTGTTCTGTCCAGTGGGCTCCCTCTGATGGTCATTATTCACAAGACTTGGTGTGGAGCCTGTAAAGGTATGATGCTGGTTGAGTTATTGAGTTATACACCGGAATATCCGGAACTTTTCCAATTCGTCTTGAAAAAGGCTGTGCTGCTCGATATTTTTGTGGAAACCGTGATACATTTGATGAATTTGAAAGTTCAAAAGTCTTATTTGAAGTCTATTTTTTTCACAATGTAAAAATCTTCACTGTCACGTTTGATCAATATTATATTTCTTAATCACAAAAAAAAGTTTGAACGGTAGTAATGTATGATGTATGAATGGCTTATTCTGTTACCTTGAAGTGTACAGATGATTTATGATGTTTTAAAAATAACTTTAGCATTAAAGCCCAAGTTTGCTGAATCAAAGGACATCTCTGAGTTGGCTCACAACTTTGTCATGGTTAACTTGGAGGTGAGGAGCTCTTCTTCTTATTTACTTTATACATTTTACAAAATGCATATTGTAGATGGTTTGAAAAAAAAAAATATATATATATATATACACGCCACATGTAGTAATACACATATTCTCAAGAAGGTATGTGTTATTATATTGCATATTCTCATTGCATGTCCCATGTGGCTTTAGGATGAAGAGGAGCCAAAAGATGAGGCCTTTAGCCCAGATGGCGGTTACATTCCAAGAATACTTTTCCTTGGTAGGTCATATACATAAACAAATTGACTAAGCAAATGCACTCGTTTAGAACATCAACCCTTGTTTAAAGGTAGACTGTCTTTTTTTCCTTTTTTTTTTGTTCTTTGGTAAGATCCCACTGGTAAAGTCCACTCGGAGATCACGAACAAGAATGGCAACCCCAACTACAAATACTTCTACAGCAATGCAGATCAAGGTAAGACATTCGAAGACAAATGAAATTTAAAAGACACATATACATATATAAATCTATATTTATTTCATTCATTATTGCCGGCCACTTTTTTTTTTAGCAGCGCTGTTTTTTTTAAAGTATTTTTTTCATTTCATTTTTCTCAAGTCAAACCAACCAGCTACAAGTGAATCACAACATTACAAACGTTCATTTGAAGTATTTGAAAATCAGACACAAAAAAAAAACAAAGGTTCAAGACTCTGTACTTAACGCTTAAGTGAAGGAAAGAACTACAATCCCACGAACCACTGCAACTGTCCATTTAAAGTTGTTGATTGTAGACATATAGAAACAATATATTAAGTTTATTGCAAAATATGCATATATATTCAAATATTTTACTGTTCTGAGCACGGGAGGACCAACTTGATTCGTGATGCTTCATGGGAGTGGGCGGAGCTTAGCACTCGATTTGATTGCTTCGACTCTTTGTGGGTAATGCAGTTTTTCACTAGGAATTCCACTGTTAAACACGATCATTTAAAACGAGTTCAATAATGCGAACTGATGGCTTCAACAAAAGCGTATACCTTTGATTAACGTCCTCAGCGCTCACAGTAGGTCTGCTTTAAAGGATACACTGTAGAAAATGCTGGGTTAATTACAATCCAGTGCTGGGTTAAATAGGGACAAACCCAGCAATTGGGCTGTTTTGACCCAGCGGTTGGGTTAAATATTTAACCCAACCTTCTGGGTAGTAACCCAACCGCTGGGTCAAAACAACCCAATTGCTGGGTTTGTCCCTATTTTACCCAGCACTGGGTTGTATTTAACCCAGCATTTTTTAGAGTGTATCGTTAAAAAAATGTATTTCCCTGTAAAGAAAATGAATGGCATTTTTTAACTTCTTGAATCCGACTGTCGCATTCTATAGAATAGGAACGCAATAGTTCTGACGTAACACATTTTGCGAAAACATTTCAGAATATTTCGCAAAAATGTTGTCATCACAATATAGTGCATTATTTACATCATAAATGCATCATAAAGAATGCATTCTATTGACTTGATCTGTGCCTGAAATGAGTAGTTTTCACTCGCTTTGCTTCAAATAGTCAACTTTCCAGTGGCAATGCAAAACAGGATTGACTGTGTTTACAGTCCATTCTAGAGATGAATTTGAAAAACAAATGAGATTTTATGTGCAAAGTGAACAAAACGAGTGACATGTTACTTGACCACATTTTTCTTCCGTGTGCAGTTGTGGCTAGCATGAAGGAAGCTCAAGAGAAGCTGACTGGTGATGCCTTCAGGACCGTTCACATCGGGGATGAACTCTAAGAAGGGCAAAAGCAGCATGGAAAGATCTTAGCCAGTACACATTAGAGCCATCCATCACCAACCTCAACTCCTGTCATTTAATTTGATCTACTATAGCACAAGACAAGCTTAAAAAAATGAAGGAATTTATAATGCATTTACGGATTATATTTCAAGGTATCGCAGCTTGCGGTAGATTGGCTTATTATTTTGAGAACCAAAGCATACTTACTGTCCATGTCACATAATGGGTGCTAAAAGTTTTTTTTTTTTTCATCATCTTGCATTTCAGAAGATCAAAGCTGACGTGTCCATATTGATTATTCATGTTGAAAACATTTGACCCTCTTGACTGCATTCTTAAGGCACTCCACATTTTTTCTGACTAAGAAACACGCCAGTAAGGCATTTCTCATGTGCTTCCAAGCCATATCTTGTAAGCTGTGGTAAAACTGATCCAGTTACACAGTCACTTATACGAAGAGCCTTATAAACCCTAAACTGTACCCACCTAAAAACTATGTATGTTTTCATGAGCGTACCAGTTCTATTGTGTTAACGTTTTTAGAAATGCTAATAGTATCTCTTAAACTGGCCAAGTTTTTGTCCTCAATATATGGAGTCGCCTTTAATTTTAAATACAGATTTTTACTATTGACAGTACCTGTAATTTAAGGCCTATAATGTGAGGTGGCACTACTTTTTCTTTTTTCTTCCTTTTTTTGGGGGATTGAGAGGGAATTGTCTGTCTTCACCCTACTGTATTTTTTACCAATATGTAAAATGAGGCTACAAATAAAGTTGATATAAAATATTGTAATATAGTTATTTTTCAGTGTTAGCTTACAGAGTAGAGTGACCAATACTTAAATCTATTATGGTATTTGTTGCATTGTGTTAAAACAGGATTTGTGCATAATATAAATTTTTGCAAAATTAAGTTGACGACCCATCAGTAAAGAGACACACTTACACAAACAAAACAACAACAAAATAATAAAGCGTGTATCATAAAATGATTCCTAAACTACCATTCAAAGGATTGGGGTCAGTAAGTTTTTTTATTATTTTTAAATAATACTTTTATTCATCAAGGATGCATTGAATTTACCATAAGTGACAGTAAAGACATGTATAATGTCACAAGATTTCTAATTTAAATGCAGCCTTGGTGAGCTTAAGAGACATTAAAAAAAAAAAGTTAAAATATCTTGCAGGAAGGAAGATCAAAGTTGGCACACCACAGCTCCAAAAGTAGAACAATATTTATGTTCTCACCACAGGTGACGTTTTGAGCCTAAAAGCTCTTCATCAGACGATTAGGCTCGAAACGTCACCTGTGGTGAGAACTTAAATATTTTTCTAATTTTGGAGCTGGGTGTGCCAACTTATGCAATTTTTTGTGGTTGAGCACCCACATTGAGCTCTTGGACTGTTGGATGTGTGCACTTCAGGTGTAATTCTTTATAAAATAACTTACAGTCCTTTTCAGTAGTATTTTCAGTAGTGTAAACGCATT